CTTTGTGTTTACACATTACAATTTAGTTATTTTATTTAACAAAGAATGCGATAATGTCATTTTTCTTGATTCTAACATATACATATCGATATATGTACTTTGTATTAATTTTCATTGTTTGCGAAATTGGCATCATAATTTATTGGAATAATAAAAGAAACTTCAAATTCATAAAACAAATTGACTTTCACACACAAGTTCTATATATACAAATGGAGGTTAAATAATAAAGTTTTCTTCTGTAAGAATAAATTTTATGATTTTCTAAATTGATTTACTTGTTATGTTAAAAAAGGGTATTTTATTATCAACACACACAAATAGAAGTTCTTAACTATATTTTTTTATGGCATTGGACAATAAAACCAGCCTAATAAATACATGTACGTACATGTACCAGTAATTGATTTACATATACCTATAATGATAAAGGTTCTTTTTTAGCACAAATCAATTTAAATATATATCAATATTGTCGCAAGTGGATTGTAATTAGGCATAATTAACGACTTTACCTACAACAATTGAGGAGGGAGAGTGTATAGACTGATTGTATTCATTCATTATCTAGTTCCTGTGCTGATATCTACAGATATCGTCAGGTTTAGTAATATTAAAGGGGCTTTACAAGGATTTGTATTTAGGTAAGGGAATTTTGGGAGATTGGGTTTTCTTTAATTTAAAGTAATGGGTTGCTTCTATTAACAATATTTAATAATGATAATTGCTTTTTCTAGACAAAAGCCTTAAACTATTCTACACAATGCGTTTTATTATCAATCAATATGCCGTTTAATCAATAACAATGTCTTTTCTGGATCAAAGGATCTAACCGTTAATTGTTTCAATCTTTTAACAAGTTATACTGTGGGGTAAAAGAATTGTACATAATTATTTCATTTACAAGAGTTACATTACTTGGAGAAGAATTGTATGCAATTAATTCTGCATTTTTATTGACATCCGTGAGGACCATATATATATTTTGATTTTTACATTGTAGAGTAAGAGTATTGCTTTAGATTCTATTACTATGTATACTATTGAAGAGAGAGAACTTTTTAAGAAAAAGGAAATAAAGTAGAATCAATCAAAAGCGAAATCGTGATTATGATCAGGTGTGGGAGTGAAAGCGAAGTAAAATAATAAGAAACGGAAAACGAATTCGAATAAAAGTGGAAAATTAGTGGCGAAATCGAAAGCGAAAAACGTGAAGACACTGATCTAAAAATCAGTTAATAACGAATAACAGGTGATAACGAGAGCGAAAGATGGATGAAAAAGATAAAACAAGTAATGAAAAATGAGCTGTCAATCAAACGGGAAAGCGAAAAACGTAAACACAAAGAAAAAGACAGATGAAAATGAAAAACGGGGAAACAATCAAAAGCGAAAACGTGTAGATGAAAAGCGAATTTCATAAATGAATTACCTTTTTTGGAAAGAGGAAAACAGGAGTCGATTTAAATAGGAAGAATGGGACATTACACTAAGGAGCTCGGATAATCGAAATAACTTATTGAGATCGGGACGAACGGACTCCTTCGGAAATCACGAGATTAACAAAATTTGTTACACTTCGGTAACAATGCTCTCTGTGCAAAGAATTTAACCATTTATTATATACGAATTCTATTAGTTATGTATACCATTTTGGGCGACAAAAATATTTTGGTTAGAACAGCTAATTTATAATCATTCACTCATATAAGAAAAATGCGCTTCTAAATGTCTGTAAAAAGATACGAAAATGTCTGACATGTCTGTAGAATACCATTTTTATGTGTGTTTTGCAGACGTATCGATATAAACACGTAAATCACGTATGTGAATGCATACACTGTAAAAAACACATAAAGAATACTTTACGGTTGCTTTACAGACATATAGGACTATTTCATATACTGTATTCCGTATTTTTTGCAGACATTCATAGGTAACCAGAATAAATCAAAAAAGATGCGAGTACGTAGTTGCTTACATCATTGATGAAATTTAAATTTGCGCTCTAGATTCATAAATTTCTTAAGAGCAACTGCTTATATTTCAGATTTGCTTTAATATGTCAATATCTAATACAGATCCTTTTTGCCACGTTGACTTTGAAAATTTCCCTATTCATAATGCAAAACCAATTCTGTCAATGAATGCCAAGCACGTAAAAATCACGGAAATTGTAAGTGATAGTACGAAATGATTCGGCATGGTGCGTAAAAGCACGATGACAAAACCCGTATACATAAACACATTTTTGTCATGGCTTTCAACACGAAAATGGTGCAAATTTGACAGTCCGTACTTATGTGTGTGGTTCCGTGGTGTTTATGTATACGGGATTTGTCGCATTTCCTGTGCTTCTACGTACCATGCCTGTAATATCCGTGGATCTTACGTGCTTGCTTTTTTTATAGAACAAGTTAATTTTTCTTAGTTCCTCATATTAAATCTGCTCAGAATTTTTCACATTCAATTGATTATTCATCAATTTTGAATTACTACTTGTCCAGAAAGTCACACTTTGAACCGATTTGCAAATCTGTCATATTCTAGATTAAGATTAAAGGTACATGTAATTGGAAGAAGCATATAGATTACATTAATCGTTTAATATAAACTCAGTAAATTTCAAATATATTTTTTTTAAATCACAAGATAAGGTTTAATTACCAAAATTTTCGGTGCATAAATTTTTATTTTTTAAAGTATAATACAATAAGTTCATAGATTTACCGACTGGCTTAACTATTATTTTTTGAGAAGAATATATTCTGTATTTGTCAATATCAAACCTATTGGGGTTTTTACACTACGTAAAATCAAGAAAAGGAATTATCAAAGATAAACCAGCTACTGACCTACGATAAATCACCGTGCATATGCATTATTCTTTATCGAGTAATGTTTTACTTTGTATTGATTTTATATCGTTTCGATCTTTTTGTAGATTACAACACTATTCATTCTTCTTTCTATTCATAATGTCCTTACCACGAAAAGAATTATCGTGAACAAATAACTGCTGCATACCATCATATTCTAAATACGTACAATAAATCGGTCAACGTCCAATGATGGGTCACTGGATTTGACCGATTCATATTCGAAATGGATCGCAAAAAAAATGAATCGGTTAATTAGGACGTAACGGTAAGGATAGAGACATTAATCAGGTGATTTCCGGTTAATAGGGAGCTTATCACCCTCCCCCCACCTGATTTTTTGATTGGCTGAGAATTTTTTAATCACCTGATTTTGATCTACATCTTATTTTTGTTCTGACCCCCTTCCCTCCCTAAATGTCTCTACCCTAATATCTCGATTTCCAGTGAACAAAAATAATACCATTTGGTTCGTCTAGTCAAGATGAATCGGATCACTGGAGATCGAGATATTACGTTCTAAATTGGCCGATTAATTTTGTTAATGCCAAAAAAATGAATCTGCTACTTTAGGATGCAATATTTGACATCCAATGCTCTGATTTGAACAAAAATACTAATTTCGATTCGACTAGACGAATCTAATAGTAATATCTTTGTTCAAATCGGATCACTGGATGTCAAGAATTAGATTATTTGATATTCAGATGTGTGTTATGAGATGAATAATTGTATTTGGGATGCGAAAGTTTATGAATATACGATACCCAATATAGAAGTAAAAGGTATCAATGATCAGTACTTGTGATTTTCTCTGTACGGACATGTACTCGGAAAATTTCAGAATATTACACGATTTTTGGAAGTTATCAGGGTCAGTTACTTATACATTTAATTGTATATCGCTCTGATCGAGACTCCAACATCGTTACATAAAAAAATTGTTTATAATTATATTCTCAACGATAGGATCGTTTGTTTTTGTAATGGTATATGCGACATTTTTTTCTTGGAAAAAACGTCGAAATCAAAAAACTGTTACTCATAGCGATAGATTGTACTTTATCCAATACAGCATTATCTCACAATATGCTCGCAATTAGGAATAAACACACACTACTACACAAAGTTTCGTTTTATCACAATTATCCTAAAGCTAGTCATGCTTCTATTTAACTTTTAAGTCTTGATCACATAATTTCTGTTTAAATATAAATTACCATATACTTCATTTTATATTTTTATTGGATTATCCAGGAAGTGATTGTTCTATAGCAATAAAGAGGAACTGTAATACATTATAAAGTAATAAAATTCATGCAAATATAATTTCTTAAAGTGGATTTGCGTAATTACTATCGCTATATATCGATATCGATATAGGCATTATTATTAGCCAATGAAAATAAAATGGATTTCATACGTAGTTTATTACGTAACGGTAACGATATGGTACTTAACGTTAATGTCATCCAAATATGCATCTGGAGCGTACTCAGCGTCTTATTATTTCTTTTAGCCTCGTGAAGAACTTTTCGAGATTCTCATTTAATGAAAAATGTATTCCTAGTTTGTAAAAAAATCGTTTTCGTTGATTTTGTTAATTAATTATATTGGATGCATTGAAGTGAGTTAAAAGCTCGGATAGTCTAAGTTAAAAATTTCAAGGCTTGCTAATTTAAGGAAATTCGTGACACTCATTCAAAAGCCTTTTCGTGTTAATTGATTGGATGGAAGAAGCTGATTGTATAAAAAATCTTCGTTTTGCTCAATCAACAACAAATGATATGCAAATTTCGAAATGAATTTTTCACAGCAGTTGCATACAGATATGAAAGATCTTGGTTTATTCTTTCTACAATCGTGTGTTCAAATATATTTCGAAGACAACATTCATTGATAGGATATCTATAATAATACTGGTTGCTTACGTGACAATTACATGTATAAGTTATTTATCATTTGTAATGATAAATCTTCAGAATTCTGAATTTGTCCCACGATATAAATGAGATTTTTCTCACCGACTAGCGTGATTGTCATTTTGAAGACGTTTATATTTCGACAATCCACTGTTCGTTTGTGACGAAACCGTATATATACGGGTGTTACTATAAAGTTATGAGTGAAAACAACACCCAATCCCAAAATATCGTCCTCAACGTTGGCGGACTAAAGGTATCGTTATTGCAAGCGGAACTTTTTCAGCCTTATCCATTATTAACTTTGTACTGAATATCTAGTATGAGACACTCCGATCTACTTTAACCGCCTATCCAGATACTTTACTCGGCACAATGTTTGCAGAAAGAAACCAAGCTCTATTGAAACCCAAAAATGGAAATGAATATTTTTTTGATCGAAATGGGCGAGCATTTTATTACATTATGGAGTATTATAGAACCGGAAAACTTTCTTTTCCAACTCATGCCGATAATAATTCGTCCGGATTGCGAGTATCAAGAAGCGAAATTGAATCCGAACTCGATTATTTCCAAATCAATCTTACAGGACTTCATACTAAAGAGGTGCATCTAGAAATAAGCAAAAAACTTGATGAATTCGTTGCTTTTTTAGAAGAACAATTGTTAATAAAAATGAGTTTGATGAAGGAGAAAGTGCACTTTGAAGTGTCGGAGACCCATGTTTTATTTTCAGAATTTCCTCGGAAACAATCTCTTAAAATTGACGAATATAAATATCAACTAGCAAAGAGATTCCACCACAGCATTTCGCAGCATCTCAGAAATAAGTTCAAGGGTACAAATGTTTATTCATGGTTAATGTCTCCTTCAAACTCAAATAATTTTGAGTCAACCGTTGGCTTCACTGTGACTCCAAAATACGATGATAGCTTAATATTGAGAATGTCTCATTTAAAGGTAAATTATATAATCGCTTTTGTATTTTACCTAACGCTAAATTCTAATTTTCAAAATTCTAATTGTTCTAAACAGATCGATGATTAAATTTATTGTAATCGGTTATTATCAATTTGTTTGATTAAAATATCCTGAAAGAGAATATATTTCATATCATGTGTTTACCATGCAAGATTAAAAAGTTGTACGCTGAGATTAAGTTCCAAACTTAAAAAGGCAAATCTACATTAGTGTTGACGACTAACAAAGAGTTACTAGCTAAAGAAAAGTCACCCATAACCGTATAATTTTGGGTTTCGAAAGATGAAATCGAAAATTCGGTTGTTTTCAAAGACCAACTCGTCAAATTCACAAAAGAATTAGCCGGAATTCCTTTTTCATCTGTTAAAAGTGCTAAATGCTTGTGTTTCACGTCCTGATATTATCATATTTAAGATATTTGTACCTGTTCTATGGATGTTCGACTTTTTCTGCTCTATGCATTTGTCTTAGTTGTAAGAAGTTCCAGAATAAGTACAAAAGCACATTTCTACTTGCATTTACGTCTAATGTTCTCATTAATTCAGGAATTGTTGGAATTAATGAATTAACAAAGTAACATAACAGTGAAAGAACAAAGACCGAATGATTTATGATTAATGGAATTCACTAAAGATCTCCTGTGGTAGCTTATATGCAAACTAATTTAATATCAAAGGTAAAAATAATGACAAGGAGTGGAATTGAATAAAAAGAATAAAAGAAACTAAAATAAAAGTAGAATAACTATTAAAGAAATAACAGGATCTAATGAAATAAAATAAAATAACAATTGGATTTGTTGCGAATACCAATAAAGAAAATAAAATAACCAGGACTTATTGGTATGGTCTAAAAATAATAAAGTCAACAACTTATTTAGAGTGAAGAAACATTCACTACTTGTAATCAAGTTTTGAAAATGGTCATAAAAAATAGTGTATTTACAAGAAGAATATTATAAGTAATAACTTGGTTATCTTTATTAAATTAGAGCATGAGAGTTTTTAGTGATGAGAGACTCTTCTTATATACATTTTCAACAGTTTTTTGATTTACATGATTAATAATGATTCTAAATCATATCACTATTTACAAACAATACTAAACAATATTAAAAAAATGTTAAAAATAAAAATAAAAATAAGATAAAAAAATAAAATTAATATGAATATAATTGGTTTAAGCTAATGAAATTCGAATTAAAAATATTCTTGTTGGAAATAAAATATAAAAATATACAAATAGCAAAAAAATTAATTTGAGAATAAAAAATAAAGAGTGAAAAGAAAAGTGAAAATAAATATTAAAATATGCAAAAATATAATTTATTGATGATTATTTTAATTATTAATCAATAAGAAAGTAATATTTATGAATTTTATATTAAATATAATTGTGTAATATCAAATAAAATATTAAATTTGGTTGTGTAATATCAAATAAAAGATCAAATTACATATAATATGAATTATTGAACAAAATTATAATATATTATAATTTGGAATTACAAAATTTTTGTTGAAAATGGTAATACTAATTTCTAATTCAAACTTTAATGTTCCCATTTCATAGTATAGCAAAAATCTGCTTGAAGTTCTTTATTATAATAAAATGAATTTTTGAATATAAGCAAAAGCAATTGAAAAAATTCTACTTTTACTTGTATATCATCAAGAGATCTTGAATAAAATTATTTCTTCATAATAATACATTTAATATTGTTAATATTGTTAATAATGTTATTTTAATATTCCATTAAGAAAAACTTTATAAGAAAAATTATACTTAATGCGAAGCAATATTATTAATTCTGTTAGAAAAAAAATAAAGTTAGAACTTATTCAGAAATTCTAACAAAATGAATTTAGAATAGTATTTCTCAAGTTATAATATCCAACTCATGTTAAATTACTTGCAAAGAATGTTATAATAAAGAAAAAATAAAAAAGTCAAATATTTTAAACTAAATGAAACTCTTTATACTTGATGTGTATAGTATTGGAAATCTAATATTCTCAAGGATGTTGAGAGCATAACATTTGAAGAACAAATTGAGAACATGAAATTTGTGATTTGTGTTCTCAAAAGCAGTTTCCAGTTTCTCAATGTTTTTATATATAATTCCAAAATATTAAATTAGCAACTTTGATTACATATTGGTAAAAATTCAATTTCAATATGCTTATAATTTTTGAATGTGTGAAATTTAATTTACAGTATGTTGCATCTATTACAATAATCAATCGATTTAAGGGATTTTTTTGCAATGGGAATGAGAGCTGGGCTGAATTATTACGTTCAGAGGGTTTCTCCAGTTGTTCCAGAGATTTCCCGTGGTGACTTGTTCACAAATCGATCTTTTTAACAATAAGGGAGAGGGTGTGTATGGAAAGGGGAATAAGATAGTTTCACTACTTGTAATAAGAACCAGATTATTTTAATAAAATCATGTTTATTCAATAATCGAAAATGTCTACAAATATGACAGAGCTTATTGATATGGCCTATCTAAGAAAAATAAACCTAATTCAACAGGGCTTATTGATACAGCATATACAAAGAAAACAAAATCAATTCAACAGAACTTATTGATACGACCTGTACAAAATAACAGTTCAAAAGAAATCAATGGCTTATTTAGAGTGGAGGAGCATTCACTACTTGCAATTACTCACAAGATTTGAAGTTTGATCAAGGAAATAAAATAAAAGTGTATTCACAAATAGTATTACAATTATGAGTAAGAACTTTATTAAATTAAAGCATGATCAAAGCATGTCTTCTCAGAGTTTTAAAGATGTTTCTATATACAATTCTGAATTACTATGCTAATTCTGAAGTTAGTAATCTACATTAATGGTTTTTCTTGAAACGTTCAAGTAATAATTGATTAACGTCTTTCAATTGTCTAGACAATTGTTGAAATAATTATTTTCCTTTTGATAATCACTATTGTTATGTGTGTTAATAATCATTCAATGTTTTTCAATTGTCTAGAATTCGTGATAATTATCATCCTTTCAGTAATCGCTATCATTAATCTTGAAGAACAACAGGATATTCAGGAAAAAAAAGGTAAGGTCCATTCATAATGAAATATTTCTAAATTTGGCTTTTAATGTAAATCGCACAAGAAACCAATTATGGAAGGAGTATCGTGTAGGTTATTTGGAAAGATATTCATGTGGAAATTAAGGGTCAAAAGTATAGAATTAAAGTATTTAACGTTACTGCGGTAACCATGTCTCAAAATTTTATCAAAATGTTCCTAGCGAAATTTATTATATGTAATTTTGTTTAACGGTCGTTATTATTATATAATGATAATCTTACTCCAAAATGAAACTCTAATATTATTAAAGCTTAACTTTTTCAGTATAAATTAGAATTTTGGTTTTGAATTAAGATATTTGGTATGTAAATGTTATCTAAAGCAAATTTTCAAGGAACATTTTTTGCTAAAACACAAAAGGCAGTTTCATACATCAGAAAACTTTTAAATCTGCAAATCTGTAATGAACTTTGGACCTGGAAAATTTGCGAATATCTCGGGATCCAGTGAATCAATTCAAATATTTTTGATACCATTAGATTAATCTAGTTGAGGGGAATCAATGATATCAAGAATTGGTCCACAGGATCCAAGATATTGCATCTGAAAGTCACCATATAAAATTTTTCTTTGCAAATCTAATTCTATTCGTCTAGTAAAGAGGAATCGAATGGTATCGTAATCATTCGGATCCAATTACTGGTTCTCGAGATATTCGTAAATATGATTTATAATTTTGCAAAGAAAAGTTTTGTACAGTGAATTTCATATGCGATATCTCAGGATCCTGTGGACCAATTTGAATGATTTTAAACCATTCACTAGATGAATCCAATGGCATCAAAAATTTCAAATTAGCCCACTGGATCCCGAGATATACGCAAATTTTCCAGATCCGAATTTCTTCACAGATCTGCAAGTTTAAAAGTTCCCGATGTAGGTAAATTTCGAGATACAAGCTATTTTTCAAAAATATGCTTTTGTTGAATTTTGCATTTTCTGTTACACGCTGATCTTGCATTTGATTGGCCGATCACACAGCCACAATTCTGATCGGTAAATCTTTGTAGGTCTGACCGTCAAAATCTCATTTTTCTCAGTCTCAGCTGTATCTAGGACTGTTAAAAGCTCATGTGAGTCGGGCTTTGAGTCAGATTTGGCTGAGTTGCTTTTGAGTCTGAGTCTAGGCTCGGAGGAACCGTCTCCCAATAGTCACATGATAGATCAGATGCTAGATTGGAGTAATCATATATACATATGCCAATTTTTTTCAAGAACAAACGAATTGACATAAATGACTCTGCTTTCATGATGAATGCGAACAAAAGGTATTCATGATAACATATACAGAACGATCATTACCAAAACGGTTCAAGACGATTAAACAAAACCTTCTGGAAAAAAATGATTAGCATCAATAAAGCAGTTGTGTTTAAGAATTTTGAACTATAAAATTATCCTACCTTTTTTCCCTGTTTTTTGTGTCAAAATTTCTATTTTCAGCTCGTCAATTCCCACATCTTCCGCAAGCTCACCAGCTCCTACGTTTTTCACAATTCCAAGTCCATTTGCTAGTCATTTAGCTGAGACCTCTTTTTGAATATGTTCCAAGTTCTGTCGAAAGCGACAATAACTTGGAGAAGAGTCTCAAAATAATGTGATATTAGTAATATAATCCACAATAAAAACCAATTAAAAATAAATGTAAACCTGCTCCTGTTCGTAATTATCTCGATGTACTTGAAGATGGTTCCCGCAATTGCAAGCATAAATGGAGGACGAGTACATTGTTATCAACGATAACGCAGCATTTTGAAAATAAACACCAAAATATTTTTAAAGATATTCGACGAGCCACTACGAAATTTGCTTGTAGAATAGATGAAAAGCTAGCATAAATTAGATAAATAAGCATTATGCAAATAATATTTTAGTTACTTATCTTCGCATTACAATAACTATTATAGGTGCACGTGAATGGTAATCATGTGTTACATGACTGTACTCGAGTCTAAACCTCAATTAAACTCGGCTTCTGGAGCCGATCGAACTGAACCAGACTTTTAACAGCCCTAGCTGTAATAAGTACCAAAGTGAAGGCGAAAAAAGGGCAGATCATGTGATTCAAATACCGATGCCAGCCATCAGCTATCCCCTTAAAATTATGCATCAATCAAATCGCAAGATCAATGCGCAACACAAAAATTCAAAATAAAACAATCCAAATGCTTATTTTTGAAAAATAGCTTGTATCTTAAAATTTCGCCCATGAAACTATCTTTTGTGCTTTAATAAAATGTTCCTTGCAAAATTTCACTGCACATAATATGCCCGTTTGCTATACAATAACCTTAACTCTAAACCTAACCGGGATATTATTCATTATAATTTAAGGGGGATGTCGGATGGTCGGGATCGGAATCACATGATCTGCTCTTTTTTCGCCTTCACTTTGTTACTAAATTCGAATAAACACAGTTCAGAATTTCAATTAGAAAACTCGAGCGCATCTCTTATTAAACTTAAAACTATATGTGTGATAATCAAGCTGTCGTGGTTACTGCATAAGAATTAATAATTGTAAAGATAATTTAGTACGTGAATGATTCATAGATGTTTTAATTTTTTATTGTCGTTATGATAAAGCGAGTCCGTAATTTGGTAATCAATCATAATCTAATTTAATTACGTTAAATATTTTACATGGAATAAATCAATATTCTTATGAAAAATATGTTACAATTAAAAATCAATAGAAATGTGAGAAATGTTGTAACTTGAAAAAATAAAGAAAGAAACACTTAATTCTAAGATTTAGCCAGCTGTATAAATTAATTAGTCATACAATTTCAGATGCTTGTATCATTGGGGTGAAGGAAGAACCAGAGCTAGATTGGCCGTTTAATGAAGGTAATTTAATAAGAAGGAATTCTTTTTGTTGAAAATAGGGAAAGTCTATGCAGAAATGGTTCTTCTATATGAATAATAAGGAAGATTCGATTGGTTAGAAAATGTAAAGGGAATAAATTTCTCAGGTAGGGATAATTACGTACCCAATTGTAAGCATTGTTATTAACTAGTTTTTTCTCATATTCCCAAGTAATTCCTGCATCTATGCTTTTGCTAGTGTACTCAGCAAGTAACGCCTTAATATCGCGAATTAACTGTAATAATTAACAAATACTAAGTAATCAATCATGAGATACATCGTAAAACGCTCAGCAAAATATAATATATTACCCTATCATTAAGAGTTGCACTATAAATCCACATCCAGATAAGACTGAGAAATCCTATTGTCGTTATCAAATAGATAAAAAGCAAACGAGCAATCTTTCTTGATAATCCATTATTTTTAGATCCATTGATTTTTTCATTATATTTATAACAAAGAATATAGAAAGGTATCAGCGAGCTGAGTCCTAAAATTGTAAATATATGCAAGAATAAAAATTTTTTGAGGGTTGGTTTGCGGTGTTCTTGCCACCGTTCGTTGAATTTTTGTACGTGATTTTCATACACATCTTCCTCTATCTAATAATTTAAATACATGTGCATGAACGAATTAATATTTGAGCTTGACTTAAATGAAAATTTATTTATTGAATTGAATTATGCTTACAAATTTTCTGAGTTCATCCGGAAATTTTTCACCGTTTATTCCTTTAGAGTTAATGGAAATACGTAATTCATTATGTGAAAACATTATCAGAAGCTTTATCAACTACGTAACTTGTTCTGTTGACAATTATCAATACGATCGTGTCGGTATTTAATACTTTTTTGCTTAGCCTATGTGCATTATTATAAAAAATATCTATACATTATGTTGATCTAAAAATACATGTAATTTGCTTCATTTAAGAAGATTTGTACCATGTTACTCATTCTATAAAAATACGTATTGTATAAGACTGCTCGATATAGAAAATATTCAAAACGCAAAAATTTAAGTTATTAAGGTAAACGCTTGTTGACTCCGATTATTTTAATAGGATAACTCATATAAACAGAATCCTTGATTGTATACACTTGAGGTCTATTTATAGGCAAACTCATATGGCTTTACCTTTAAACAACATCCATCCTTGTTTAAGATCTATTTATAGGATAACTCGATTTTGCCTTGATCGCGAAAAACTTGCTCACTTTGGAACTACGTTTAAAAATTTCTTATATATAACAATAAATCACACAACTATAAACCCTTCTTTATGCCTTGAATTATAACATTAATAATATTTTTAGTAAAATAAAACAAGCATATTTGGTGTACCAATTTTAGACTATACGTACATTTTTTATGCAATAACAATATGCACTCCAATGAATTGTTTATCTGTCGCTATCGCTATATAAATAATATAAAATTGAAAACAATTATGCGCGAAACTTCTTCAATAAAGGGGGCCATACATGATCTATTCCACCGATCGAAGGTTAAACACGGCTGTTTGGCCGTAGCCAAATGGACAACGGTCATGAAAATATATTGGCGTCAACACTGATAACGATAAAGATAAGCAAGAATATTAACACTATGGATTTGACATTCTCGTAAAAAAAATTTTCTATCAGAAATTCCTATTTCGGGCGTGAATATCATAAATCTGTGCCATACTTTGTCGATCATAGACCAGCAGCCAATAAGAATGCATAAATTTTTGATCGGACCGGCAAATCAAATCCGACACAAGAAAAGGAAAATGGGAAAATACGAGAAACAGGTGCCTAAATCTAGCTTGGAGTACTAATCAAAAACGTCGGGAGGCAATTTATATACAATCTGTAGCTCAGCCCTAACCCTAATACTAAAACCAACTTTCTAATGTTAATTAATACTACAGTAGAACTTTCCGAGATCAACAAAACCTGGCACAGATTTCTTACTGTTACGTGCATATCGATATAACGCAATCATAACAAGATTTCTTCTTACATCATGTGTGCGAGTAAGATGTGTTTGTTGAAAACAAATTATAGTGACGATTCTACTTGATGAATTTCGAATTTTCAAGGTTGTTAAGTTCGATCTCTATAAATAACTATCGATATGAATTTTTTGTTTGGTATCAAATAAAATTATATCTAAAATCGTTACTACAGTTCCGGCGGAAAGTAATGGCGATGAGATTGTTATGTAAATTTTATTATAATACTAGCATTTTTTTATAGAAGCAAAATATATAAATAAAGTGCTAGATTTCTAGCAAGATAATAACAATTAAAACAAATAATAAAAAATGTGATGAATTTGCGAAAATCTAATAGAAGCGCATCATGGCAAGTCATTTTCCTTGTTTTCTCGATAACCAGTTATCAGAATTTTATAATTTTGGTCTTATTAAATTCGTCTCAATAAAACGAACATTTTCATTTGTTTTTTACTTAAAACGTTCAAATTACAAAATTTTTAGTTAAATTTTATTCAAACTTGCATTGACACTGAGAGATCACATCAAGTGCTGATATTTTAGGGGCATCAAAGGCACTATCAAAATAAATTCTTTTTTTAAGTTTATTATATAATTGAATGAAATACATGTATAATAAGACTGGCCGTACGTATCAGTATATCCATCTTGTGATGCATATACGTATTAGAAACTATTACCGAATTACATATTCTGCATGAGATTTTAGTTTTTCTTAGCGGAAATCCAAAAGGGATAACAAAATATTTCTACAGTATATTGTTTCTCTTTTCCCTCTGGGCCATACATATATGGTCACAAGTATTATGTTAATATAAAATTTATACGATATTATTTTTATGTAAGCTTATACATGTACATGTATATTAAATACTATCGCTATACGTATGTACTTGTTTGTACATATTTACATGTAATTCATTTGATACTGAATCTGATATCATATAGCGATAGATATTTATGCCAGATAAAGCACAGAAATCAATGTGAGTCGTACATTTACTACGTACGTACATGTACATGTACATGTATAAGTTATTAAAATACTGATCCATGTAATTCATCGTTATTTCAACTTAAAAAATAAACATGTATTTTTAGATTGTTCTTATGATTTCACAAGATAAAAGAATCTACTATAACCAAACTCTTACGTTTATAAAGATACTTTTTAAGACAAACTTTTTTGATAATACGCTACGCCAATACACCAATCTATGAAAATAGACGGCTATTTTCGCTTTAAATGCTTATTATCATATTTTACTATTAAGCATTGATAAATGGATAAATGTATATCTTATAAAATTTTACTTTAATAAACTTTAAAACAAAGGAGCTTTTTTCTTTCATAAATTATCATTTGTTAATTGTTCAATCTCTAATAATTAAAAACAATAACATATAAAAGAGTAAAAAAAGAAAAGGATGCGAATGGTTAGGAAAACAACACCCGATCCTCCAACAAAACTGGATAATCCTAAATGCAGGAGTGTCTGTCAGATTCAATTAAACTAACAATTTTAGACAATTAAATAGACAACAATGTCTTTTATTCAATGAGTTTTAGACAAGTATAAGTATTTTTAGACTATTTGAAAAATTCTTTCTTATTATTGTATGTCAAATAATCAAACATTCTTAGACTGATTTGTCTGATAATCTTGCCAATGGACTTGATAGTTTCCGGTTAAAAAAGCAATTTCAAGGATTACATGTATATTGAACCGTAATATGAAGGTGAAATAAATCATGTGGAAGGTTTACACAAACCAGTTGTACCAGGTTATGCGTGCACACAAAGTACGAGTGCTTCACTTTGCTGGTATACCTGTATATTGTTTGATAGTTACAGAAATCACTCATTTGACAATGTAAAACTTGCTTTTAGAGGTTGGATCCTGATATCCGTTTTCGTAATAGATTTCAACGGAGACCCGGATATTTACATATGTATGTATTATACTAACGGATATCCGGATCCAACCTCTACTTTCTTTAACTCTATTATGTAAATCAACAACAGCAACAAAGATATTGAGAAAGGCTTTTAACATTAGTTCTTCTCCGGCTCGAGATTATATTTTTTTTCCTTTGTGTGTAATGAAGCAAAAGTAATATATGAATAAGAGTTATAGTTTATACTTTTTCAAAATTTTAAATATATAATAATATATATTTTTAAAAGTATATTTCATTTATTAATATTATAATATCAAAAATTATAAAACAATAAAATTTTTTCAGCAATTTACAGTGGCAATCAGAAATGATGCAAAAATGTCAAAATTTATTAATTAAACATAGTAAAATGCGAATTTTTTTCTTTATAAAAGTTTTCAATTTTATTAATAAATATTTTTTATTTTTATATTAAAATGAAAATAATGTCACATATTTTAATATATTTTTTTCAGATTTTTTATATTTAATCTGATAAAGCTGTTTTAATTACATAATTATTTTTTATATATTTTAATTATAAATAAATAATTGACTTTATATACAATTAGAACAGCTTTATCAGATTAAATCTAAAAAATCTGAAAAAAATATGTGATATTATTTTTATTTTAATATAAAAATAAAAAATATTTATTAATAAAATTAAAAACTTTTATATAAAGAGAAAAACTTGCATTTTTCATATTTTTACTATATTTTATTAATAAATTTGTTTTAGTGTTTCATTCTTTTGATTGCTATTGTATATTAAAATTGAATAATATATTAAAAACTATTGGCTATATTTATATTTTTTATTTAAAAAAGCAAATTTATTACTAATTCTTATATTTTTTAATTATTATTAATATAATAAGTTATTGCAAAAACAAAAATTTTTTTATTTAAAAATATTAATAAAATTAAAAATAAAAAAGATTTTAGATTTGATTACTAAAAAATATAATAAAATATAATTATTAATTTTTGCTTATTAATATTTTAAAATATTAATCAAATTTATTATATAGTATTGTATAATGATCTTTTATCATAACATTTTATATTATTGGATTATATATATTTCATATCTTATTGGATAAAGATCAAATCATGTAAAGTGAGCGAACAAGCGAATGAGTGAATGAACAAATAAATAACTAAATGAAATGAATGAGTGAACAAATATTATTCCAATAGAATTTAAATGATATAGTGAACATGAATTTGTATAGCTGATAAATTATATCTTGAATTTGTATAAAAGCAACATGTATTATAGTTA